GGGGATGGGCCTGTGCAGGGCCGGGGGCTGGACTCGGTGACCCTTGTGGGTCCCTTCCAGCTCGGCCCGTTCTGTGATTCTGTGGCACCCTCTGCGGGGCTCGGGGGAGCGGGGCCAGTCCCGAGGGGACAAACGCGCTGCCAAGGTGGGCGCTGGGCGCCCCCGGGCCGGGCTGTGCCGGGACTGCCCCCGGTCCCTCCCGGTCAGAGCGGGCCCGCGGAGCTCTGAGGGCTCGCACAGCGGACCGGCCCGGGGGGCGGGCAGAGCCAGGGGAGGCCCCGGGCGGGCCCCGGGTGGGTTCCCGGCCGGGCGGGGCGGGTCCGGGCCCTCAGCCCACACGGTACCCGTGACCGGAGGTGGGCGGTGCGGAGGGGCCGCTTCCTGCCCGGCCGGGGCGGCGAGGAGCGGGTGAGGGCCCTGAAGGTCCCTGTTAAAGCAGCGCCGGTGCCTTTCCCAGCCCCCCTCACCTCCGTGTCCTGACCGTGCCTTCCTTCCCCCCGCGGCATGCAAACCCTTCGCTTCCACCTGCTGAGCAGGGGGCGGGCGGCGTAAAAATACAGCACGGGGCGCTTGTGTTTGGCCTAAAGGTACATTCTGTGGGTTGCCAGAGCTGTGCGAAAGGGACGTTTCCTCCCGTGGAGACATTGTGCCGTAATAAGCTTCAGGGGAAATGAGAAATTTTTTTGGGGAGGGCCTTTAAAAAGGAGTAGGAGGAGAAAAAGAAGGGGGGGGGGGAAATATGTGGTAAGTCCTGGCTTACCAGGAGTGCCGGGGTGGGAGGGGGGGTTCCTGCTAGTAGGAATTTATTGCTGTGAGTTGTGTAGTGCAGAGGGCTCACTTGGTGCTCTCCGCACAGGACACGTGTGCCGGTGCTGCTGGTGGTGAATGAGCAGTTGACAGCACACGCCCGGGGAAAAGCCAGGTCTGATCTCCTGGGAGAGGGCTTCAGGAAACTCAGGATTCAGAAAGTCACGTTTGGAATCAGTTCTGGAGACGAAAGATTTGTGCTTCTTTTAAACACTCTGCGTTCCCCACCCCCTGTCGGAGGCTCCCGAAGGTGTGTGCCAGGAGGAGCTGAAGTGGTGCATTTTGCAGCTGGAGGCAGATCTCCACCTCACGCCACCCCCTAAACCAGGTACCTTCCTCTTTCCCAGCCCACACATCCCATGTTCCAGCCTTGGGTCTGATTTAGCAGACTGTTTCTTCTCTCCTGTTCCCTGTCCTTTTGTCATTTGGGATTTGTTCTAAATACAAAACAGCTTAAAGCATTGAACTTTAAGGGCTGTCTGTCTGGAAGCAGCTTTACCTTTCTTTCCTGTAGTGTTCATTCTCCCTGTTTTCTGTATCCTTTCTCTTGTTCTTATTTCCCCATCCAATGGCCTGTTTGGTTCTGCTACAGCTCTGCTTTTGTTTTCATCTGAACTGTGCCAGTGTGTCTGGCCGTTAAACACCAGTAGGTTTATTTTTGTGAAGCTTGTTCCAAGGATAAATTACATGGAAGATAAAATCCTATAAAATACTTTTCATGAGGTCACAGTTTGATCTCATCAGTCCAGCTTGTAGAGAAATGCAGACACACGTCCTGCTCCTGCTCCTGGCCCCTACTTAACCTTTAGAGGAGGGATGTGAACCCTCTGTAAGGTGCCCAGGTGAGTGTTTGTTGGTTCACCTGAGGGTGTAGCAGTAACTAAAATGTGTCCACACACGATGCTTGAGCATCAGGCTCTGAGAATTAAGGCTGGGAGAGCTGGGAATGTTCAGCCTGGAGAAGAGAAGGCTCCAGGGAGACCTGAGAGCCCCTTCCAGAGCCTAAAGGGGCTCCAGGAGAGCTGGAGAGGGACTGGGGACAAGGGCCTGGATAGCGGGACAAGGGGGAATGGCTTCCCAGTGCCAGAGGTCAGGATTAGATGGGATATTGGGAAGAAATTCTTGTCTGTGAGGGTGGGGAGGCCCTGGCACAGGTTGCCCAGAGAAGCTGTGGCTGCCCCATCCCTGGAATTGTCCAAGGCCAGGTTGGACGGGGCTTGGAGCAACCGTGGTCGAAAGTGTCCCTGCCCGGGGCAGGGGGTGAATGAGCTTTAAAGTCCCATCCAACCCAAACTATTCTGTGATCAGACCATTTTGTCACACCTGTCTCCTGTGCTCGTCCCCAGGCTCAGCAGCAGGGAGGGCAGCTCCTGGAGGGGAGGCAGGAGCTGAGCCCAGGGACGAGGCAGGAGAAGCAGTGGCCTGGCCAGAAAGGAGCCCCTTTGCACAGAACCTGAGTCATGAGGGCAGGGCAGTCCTGCTGATGGTACTCAAGCTCTGCCTGGAGTCCCAGTGCTGAAGGAGTGTGCGGTGAGGAGGCAGATCCAAGCTGTAGCCAGGAATTTGGGGGCTGGATCCATGAGTTATCTGGCTGCAGCAGTGTCTGCATGAGATCCTGGACTGCAACCAGACCAGCCCCTTGAAAAAGGGCTGCACATGTGCTCAGACCCGGACACCCAAGTGCTGTGAAGAGACATCCCGCTTCTGTCCCACCATGT